ATCATAACACATTTGAGAATAACGGGAGCAGACTCTGTCATCGTCAGTCCACTTGCAGATTAACTGAGTACCACAAACTGAGCCGGTCTCGAGGTCAACTAAAGCTGTCGCATGAAGCATCAACTTAAATGAGATTCTTTACGTCGCCCAGCATACGTTTGAGGTCTGGGTTAGCTACATCGCCAAACTGTGTGTGATCATCTTCATTCAAACCTCATACAATATGTGTTTTTGGTATGTCTCGTGATCTAAATGCTGAGGATGGCAGAATGGCTCCAGCACATTGACGGATGGAGGGCTCCAGAACATCCTCATCAAAGCTTCTTTTCAGACTGACCATCGATGTCATGAGTCACCAGATCTAACTGGCCTCGTCTTCTATGCACATGTCATGTTATTGCTATGGCTTTCCCTCTCTCAGCTTCTATGACCGTGTATGTCACCATATCTAATAATTATATGCCAACACATAGTTAAACTGTCCCGCTTGGACTTACAACTGATTAGAAATCCTGACAGTAGTTACCATAGTATTAAGAGTTTGGTAGGGAATGACTTGTCAGATGTCAGATGTGGGCAGATTGGCATCTAACACACACAAAGTCACTCAGAGGAGAACTTCAGGCTGTTCTGTTGTCCTGTGTCACTCAACAATTCTGTCAGTGAGTGAAACCTTTAGACGGCAAGAAGGCATAATTGAAAGCAGCAGAGAGGGAATATTTTGTCCCAAATGTTGCCTCAAACATTCAAAAAAGTGCTGTGACTTAGCAAAATGACAAAAACTGTTGTATACTTTCGATGTTTTTTGTCTTTTACAGAATATTTTGGGGGTATTTTGCCTTTCTTACAGGGATACAGGAGATGGTGTGCAACAGGCATCCCAAGACTCAGCCTTGGAACATGATGTGCATCTACCAAGTGATCTCAGGGGCCTCAAGGAGGACAAAGTGGAGGATGAATACTCTGAGACAAGTGTTTGGATGTTTAGATTTAGTTTTTTTCATTTAGTCATGTATGTAGTAGAGCATCCAACAGCCCAATGTTATATGATTTTAGTGATACTGAATACAAACAGACACTGTGAGGAAAACTAAGATAACAAGATGAGGCAATTTTATGGCATTATGACTTTAAATTGTCGTCCGTTGTGCTTTTTCCGACTTCATTTGGACTTTTGCTATTTGGGCCTCCATCTGGATTTTGCACAAAATGAACTTCCTTACATGTACGTATCTAGGAGGTGGGTGTCGAGAGTAACATCCTACTTTTCTAGGGGATATAAGAAGTCAAAACTGGGATCACAAGAGTAGCATTAGCAGAAGTGAGCTATTCAACTGGTCTGAATGTGTGCCATCTGTCACATGGCAGCCAACAGAGCAGAAGAAGAAGAAGAGGAGGAAGAAGAAGGTGCTGCACAATATTTTGTACATCCCTATTAAACTGGAGCATATAGTTGCGATGACACTGCACATCTACAATAATAATATTCACAGGCAAACAAAGAAGGAAATAAACCCTGAATATGATGAAACTGGCCCTGCTGAGTCCAACATACACACAACAACATCCCCCTTCATCTTCCTCACTTGATGCACAAAACTACCACTACTTCACAAAAGCAGGAACCAACCTTTTCTTGCAGCAAATCAGCCGGTTTCTGTCGAGGACATTTTGTCATGATGAAGTAAAGTCAGTCACAGAAAGTCTCCCCCATATGTTCAGTGTGAGTGTCTCTGTCATATTGTTTGTCCCACACTGTGCAGGGTTATTTCCAACCAGGACTAAAGGATTACAGTCCAATCCAAGACCCTCGCCGCACACCTCCCCCATCTTCCTCTCTCCAAAAAAAAAAAAACCCCAATCAGCCTCCCGTCACCCTCCTCGCTCCACCCAACTCACAAACACCCCCTTTACCCTACATTCACGCAGCCCTCCGTCACTCTCTCGCCTCACTTTCTCTCTGCAAAGCAAACACGCCGGCTCCTTCAGAAGGAAAATAAATAGTTCAATAAATTTGCCCGTTATCTCTCTTCATGTCACTCACAGATGCAGGCAGTCATGCATTATTTTCCTCACACACACACACACACAGAAACATTTCCCTTCGCTCCACTTTGCGACACCACAGCCGGCGTCATAGCTGAGTGAGCGCTCTCTGAAGTTGACGGGCCGGCTGCTGGGGTGGAGCTGCAGAGGGGGGGGGCACCGCGCTCCACAATGGACCTCTAATGGCAATTTCATGCAAGGTTTGCCCAGTGGCATCACTCCAATTAGTGGTGATTTCCCTCTGATGCATGTCCACTCGGAGACGGACAGTATATGAATCCAAGACTCCTTAAGCCGAACCACACACCAAAAACTGAAACTGGCATGTTGAAGATTTACGACACTAAAGGGACCTATTCCCAGCACTTAGTTAAATGCATGGTTGTAAGATATTTAAAAGATCAGATTTTTATGCCAAAAACATTTCGACAGGTTGGGTTGACATAAAATTGCTGATAATTGCATCAACTAAATATTGTTTGTAATTGAAACTCAAATGTCTGCATTAGTTGATTTAAAACTAAAATCAAGTTGAGGGAACTTAATGACATTGGCTTGGTAACTTGTTTTTACTTCAATTTGAGCTCAGGAAGTACCCATGTAGTATTTCTGGGTAACTTAAGGCTGTGTCTTAACCTCTTAAGACCTGGCATGACATTTTGGGTTATAGTACCACAGTAGCTAGCTTTTTTTCATCTTTATTATTTTTATTTTTAAGTACTTATTTTTTTAAATAGATTTTTATTTTCTTTATATTTATTATTTTTCATTCTCTTTGCTATTTGATCTCATCAAATAGAGAAATAAAAATACCAACCAGGACTAAAGGACATATCAAACAAGAGCTCTGGTCTAAAGAGGTTAAACTTATTGACTAGTCTATTTGTTTCCAAGTGACCTCTGTGGAAATAGTCTGATTATGGTGATTAAGCACATAACATTTAAAAAAAAAAACCTTGAAAATAACAAGGAAAACTAGTTGAAACAACCTAATTTTTTTTTACGAGTAATCAACTCTAAAAAGTGCGTTTAAGCTGCCAGTCATTAGATAAGCAATGTGCTGGTTATTTATTTATCTATTGTTGGGTCTGAACATTCTCATTTCTTTAAGTGCACACGCGGAGTTCTACATGGAGCTCTATTTTTTAATCAAGCAGCAGATTTTTGTCTTAATTAAAGAAATAATTGTTATGGTTAGAAAAACGCTATATTTTTTTTAAATACTTATTTTGTCTGATGTGCTTATTCTTAGATAGGATGTTCAGTTTTTAAATTTTGACATAGAAAACATACATTTAGGAACCATTTACCACTTAATAGTACTGACAGTGTGTTGG